TCAGCTTGCTCAGGGTGGTACTTCTCCACAAACATTTGGACATCATTTCACTTCTGTATTATTTCCTACTTCACATGTATAGCATTTCTCACTTTCTTTACCACAGGGGTACCACTAGCAAGTTTTTTGGGCCCACTGTAGCTTATTTCACAGTCGTACAAGCACTAAACATAATGAAATAATCGTAAAATGTTTGAATGAGAGCACAGGTTAGTGTTCACTCAAGCATCAACAAAACCAGACTGGCTCACGGCACCTGCGTGGGGACGCAGACAGTGGGCTGCCAGATAGGTCCGGTACCCAGCAGTTCAAAAATAGGGGCGAGTTCGTTAATAGGGACAAAGCTGGTTCAAAAAAAGGGTTCTATTTTCGAAGAGTTGGATAAGTGATACGTTCGAAATTTGAGGTTCCACTGTATGTTTGTATTCTGGAGTAGACTAAAAAAAATCACTGCTAACTATAGGCAAATAGTGACTAACTCTCACTCTTCTAGCCAGAGGCAAACTTAGTCCCTTCAAGAACAAAATGAAACAGGACTTCTTTAATGCAGTGCATTTGGCTAAGACAACACACCTTCCATCATTTGAGGGCAATAAATGGAAACTTATTGCCAAGTTATATTCTTGAAAATATTTCACAAAACAGCTATACATCAAAGAGAAACTGTCTGGTCTCAGAAATACTACCTAAAGTACAATATTTGAAACATTTCATCAAAAAAGCTTTGGGTGATCCAAGATTCTCAGGCCTGGGTAGCACACTATTAGCTCTGAGTAAATGTTAACTAAGCTTGAGGGTTGAACCACCAATTGAAATTCAATATTTAGTACATTTCTAGACCCCTTGATATAACAACTTCTTCAATGCCAGTGCAGCAGAAGCCATGTAAAACAAACCTTGATAATACCGAGAGTGAACTGAAAGAAACTCAGAGAATTCAGCAGTTCAAGAACAGTGTGCAGCTGGTTTGCTAGCAGCATCAAGTAACAAAAGGTCTAATGTAGAAAGTCCTTTAACAAGTGTGACTTGCTAATATGACTTGTTCATGGTCCAAGTTGGACCAAAATGTTGTCATAAGTTTAGAAAGTCTAGATGTAACAGGGACTGAAGAACCCGACTACAGTGGACCCCCGACATTTGATGGCATCGACATTCGATACGATTCGTACAAGACGTGTCCACGTGTGGCCTGAACTGCCCCGTGTGTGCCAGTGTTTACAAGCCAGCCAGTGTGCGCGCATCTAAGGATACATTCAGTACATTCCATATTATCCATATTATCACTGTTTTTGGTGCTTGTTTCTGCAAAATAAGTAACCATGGGCCCCAAGAAAGCTTCTAGTGCCAACCCTTCGAGAAGAAAGGTGCTAATGACAATTGAAATGAAGAAAGAGATAATTGCAAAGTACGAAAGTGGAGTGCGTGTGTCGGAGTGCATGATGATTTGGTAAAGAAATTGCCTGCAACTAGTGGTGATGTAAGTGAATTTAAGGCCAGCAAAGGTTGGTTTGAAAGATTTAAGAATCATAGTGGCATACACAGTGTGGTAAGGCATAGTGAGGCTGCCAGTTCAAGTCCTAATGGAAGGGGATTCCCCTTCTAAACACTAACACCATCCACACACTCCCCTCCTCCCATCCCATCATCACCAGATCTTCATTAAAAGGTAAGTGCCAATTATTCTACTGTTATTAATCTATTGTTATTGTAATTATTCTATTGCATGAAACTTAATATTTCATGTGGTAAAATTTTTTTTTAATACTTTTGGGTGTCTTGCATGGATTAATTTGATTTCCATTATTTCTTATGGGGAAATTAATTCGACTTTCGATATTTTCGACATTCGATAGCTCTCAGGAACGGATTAGTATCGAATGTCGAGGGTCCACTGTAGTTTGATAAATGTTATGAAGGAATTGGAGGCAACATTCTCAACAGCAGGATGTCAGAGGCATCTGCCTCAGGATCCTTTTCCAAATCATGAAAAGCAGCATCCAAAAGTAAATGCACTGGTATTTAATATTTAACCTCCCTGGGTTACTTAATACCAATTGAGCAATAAGTATTTTCTTATTCATTAACCCTAGTTATCAAAATTTTAAAAATACAAAATACTGAAAACGTACAGGCAGCAATAAAAATTTTGATATTGTCAGATCCCCAAAACCAACACTGGGGATGGCTAGATGCAGTGTATATATCATGTTTAAGAGCAATCTGTGTAAATACACAGAAAATTAGGGCCACAGAATTTTTTTTTTTTTTTTTTTTTCAACAAGTCGGTCGTCTCCCACCAAGGCAGGGTGACCCAAAAAAGAAAGAAAATCCCCAAAAAGAAAATACTTTCATCATCATTCAACACTTTCACCACACTAACACATTATCACTGCTTTTGCAGAGGTGCTCAGAATACAACAGTTTAGAAGCATATACGTATAAAGATACACAACATATCCCTCCAAACTGCCAATATCCCAAACCCCTCCTTTAAAGTGCAGGCATTGTACTTCCCATTTCCAGGACTCAAGTCCGACTATATGAAAATAACCGGTTTCCCTGAATCCCTTCACTAAATATTACCCTGCTCACACTCCAACAGATCGTCAGGTCCCAAGTATCATTCGTCTCCATTCACTCCTATCTAACACGCTCATGCACGCTTGCTGGAAGTCCAAGCCCCTCGCCCACAAAACCTCCTTTACCCCCTCTTTCCAACCCTTTCGAGGACGACCCCTACCCCACTTTCCTTCCCCTATAGATTTATATGCTTTCCATGTCATTCTACTTTGATCCATTCTCTCTAAATGACCAAACCACCTCAACAACCCCTCTTCTGCCCTCTGACTAATGCTTTTATTAACTCCACACCTTCTCCTAATTTCCACACTCCGAATTTTCTGCATAATATTTACACCACACATTGCCCTTAGATAGGACATCTCCACTGCCTCCAACCGTCTCCTCGCTGCTGCATTTACCACCCAAGCTTCACATCCATATAAGAGTGTTGGTACTACTATACTTTCATACATTCCCTTCTTTGCCTCCATAGATAACGTTTTTTGACTCCACATATACCTCAACGCACCACTCACCTTTTTTCCCTCGTCAATTCTATGATTAACCTCATCCTTCATAAATCCATCCGCCGACACGTCAACTCCCAAGTATCTGAAAACATTCACTTCTTCCATACTCCTCCTCCCCAATTTGATATCCAATTTTTCTTTATCTAAATCATTGATACCTTCATCACCTTACTCTTTTCTATGTTCACTTTCAACTTTCTACCTTTACACACATTCTCAAACTCATCCACTAACCTTTGCAATTTTTCTTTAGAATCTCCCATAAGCACAGTATCATCAGCAAAAAGTAACTGTGTCAATTCCCATTTTGAATTTGATTCCCCATAATTTAATCCCACCCCTCTCCCGAACACCCTAGCATTTACTTCTTTTACAACCCCATCTATAAATATATTAAACAACCATGGTGACATTACACATCCCTGTCTAAGACCTACTTTTACCGGGAAGTATTCTCCCTCTCTTCTACACACCCTAACCTGAGCCTCATTATCCTCATCAAAGCTCTTTACAGCATTTAGTAACTTACCACCTATTCCATATACTTGCAACATCTGCCACATTGCTCCTCTATCCACTCTATCGTATGCCTTTTCTAAATCCATAAATGCAATAAAAACTTCCCTACCTTTATCTACATACTGTTCACATACACGCTTCAATGTAAACACTTGATCTACACATCCTCTACCCACTCTGAAGCCTCCTTGCTCATCCACAATTCTACATTCTGTCTTACCTCTAATTCTTTCAATTATAACTCTACCGTATACTTTTCCTGGTATACTCAGTAAACTTATTCCTCTATAATTTTTACAATCTCTTTTGTCCCCTTTCCCTTTATATAAAGGGACTATACATGCTCTCCGCCAATCCCTAGGTACCTTCCCCTCTTTCATACATTTATTAAACAAAAGTACCAACCACTCCAACACTATATCCCCCCCTGCTTTTAACATTTGTCATGATCCCATCAGTTCCAGCTGCTTTACCCCCTTTCATTTTACGTAATGCCTCACGTACCTCCACCACACTTACATTCTGCTCTTCTTCACTCCTAAAAGATGGTATACCTCCCTGGCCAGTGCATGAAATTACCGTCTCCCTTTCTTCCTCAACATTTAAAAGTTCCTCAAAATATTCTCGCCATCTACCTAATACCTCCCTCTCCCCATCTACTAACTCCCCTACTCTGTTTTTAACGGACAAATCCATACTTTCCCTAGGCTTTCTTAACTTGTTTAACTCACTCCAAAATTTTTTCTTATTTTCATTAAAATTTCTTGACAGTGCCTCTCCCACTCTTTCATCTGCTCTCCTTTTGCACTCTCTCACCACTCTCTTCACCTTTCTTTTACTCTCCATATACTCTGCTCTTCTTATAACACTTCTGCTTTGTAAAAACCTCTCATAAGCTACCTTTTTCTCTTTTATCACACCCTTTACTTCATTTAGAAAGAATGGAACTTGTAGAAAGACAAAAAGTGCGTAAATCCAGGGAGGAGGTGAAGGAGTTATCCCAGGAGAGGTTGGAGGGAGGAGGCTGAAGGTTCTGTGGTACAGATTTATGCATCCAGCAGGCATGTATGAACCTGTTAGATCAGAGTGAGCAAAATAACATTCATGAAGGGATTCATGGAAATCAATTAGCTGAACTTAGTCCTAGAGGCAGAATTATAGTGCCTGCATTCTGAAGGTAGGCTGGGGGATATTGCTGCTTAGAGGGTCATTTGTATTGTAATGTTTGAACACTTCTGGCAAGACAGCTATTGAATGAATGATGATGAATGTGTTAACTTTTTAGGTCACTCTGCCTTGGTGGGAGACATCCAATATGGTAAAAAAAAAAAAAAAAAAAAAAAAAAAAAATTAAAGAATCCATTCAATATTTATAATAAAATTATTCGCTAGAAAGAAGAAAACAACATAAACTTACACTGACTTCGGAGCAAGTTTCAGGAGTAGATGGAGATCCAGATGAAGCATCTGATATTTTGTGAGGTGATGGAGTTGCTGGATAACTGGCAATGTTTACACCACCACCCTGATAACTCGGTCTTGGTGATGGATCTGCAATACAAATCCATTAAGCTAAATACTCTACACTTATTGCCTTACAAAACTAGCATCACATCTATATTAAAATATTGTTTCCAATCATGCTTAAAAGGAATGCCAAGCTGAAGTGCAGTATTATAAAAATTGGGAAGTATTGATACCAAAAGAGGTAATTCCAGGACAGGTCAACCAACAAACAAAACTTTTTCAATTTTGCTTAAACCTGGTTTGAGTAGTTTTTGGCAGAAAAAAAATACTTGAAAATTTTTTAGCAAAATCTGCCCAATGGGTCAAGAATTATGACCAAGGTCATTTTGAGCTAATCTGCTGATATACTTTTCAAACTGCCATAACTTTCCTTCTGCTGGTTGTAGCCCTATAAAAGTACAGTAGAACCTCTAAAATATCCCATGCAATGGATTTCAGATAAAATACAAAAAAATCTGGATTGGCAAAAGCTCGGACAGTCTGCCGCAGGCCAAGTCTGCTGCACTGCATGGCTATCCAGTTCAGTTGCACCATCAATGAAACAAACCAAGTCTGCCTCACTACAGGTTTGTCTGGTCCAGGATGCATCCAGAACCTGTCCATTTTCATTGTTCCTATTCAGCAGAGATAGTTAAAGTTTGAGTCAGTCTGTTACTGTCTGTGCACATGCTTGCAAACTAACATTATATGGTCTCCAGTTTTCCCATGGATTTATAGTGTTCATCATTGCTTTATTAAAGTATCCTGTACAATGTTCCTAACAATGTTGCCAAGAAGTGAGTATTAAGCAAAAACTTTAACAAGGAAGGTGGAGTCTCTTATCTCAATGGCCCAAGTATGTAAGCATGGTGGAGCAAAACAAATAGTGTCTGACACTGTAGAAGCAGCAACAAACTTGCAGCATATGCTATGAAGCACAGCGTAGAGGACAGTCTAAAAAAGGTTCGTAGTTCTTTGTAGGAAGTGCATGGAAATTATCCAAAATAAAAGGGCTGAAGAAGCAGTGTGCTGCTGGTGTTAACATTCATTCCACTGAGCTTTGCTCTGGTGCTAAGCTAGCAAGCTATATGGGAATGTCTGGCTTTTTAGTCTTACTGGAAAATAAATTTTCCATACAATCTAATTCCCAGAGATTTAATTCACTGAGGTCCCATGCAAGTACGTACCACTAAATTGCATCCATGTAACCTTAAATTAGCCCTTTCAATAGCAATCATGTAGGTCTATGTTACTGATGCCAGGGTCTCTCGCATAGATCTAAATTTAGAGTAAAGATCCCTCAGAAATGCTGTGCCGAAAATTTTGGCCTATATATAAGAGACTGAATCTGTACAGTAAGTGCACAGTATGAAAAAAATCTTGCTCCACACTGTGCATGAGAAAATAAAACGCTGACCTTGTATTTGGTTAAAAATAATGATTTTTGAGGCATTTTCTATGATGGTTTATGTGATTTTGTCTCTTTCTTGGTATCATTTGACAGAATGGAAGATATACTACTGAAATACAGATGATTGTGGTTGGTTTCTGAACTGAAAGCAGATATACTTTGGGCTGAAAGTAGTGAAAACATCAGAACTGCTGATTTTCCAAAGGATGGATAAGGCTTACCTACACCCCCCGAGTCTGTTTTAACCACTTCACCGTTGATGCCATAGTACTACAGGCTTGAGGTCACTGTCCATACCATAGTGCTAAGCCCGAGCTCAGTTCACTCAAATAAGCTATGAGTGGCAAATATGTGCCTAGATGTAAGAGAATGGGTCTGTGGTAAGTGCGTACCATATAAAAAAAATCTGCAGCACGCAATGTATAACGAGAAAAAAACTGAGACCGTATTTTTGGTTTAAAACACAACTTTGCGGTGCATTTTCGAATGTTTTTTTACGGTTGTATTTTCAGTTTCTTGGTCTCATTTGACAGAATGAAAGATATATTATAGAAAAAGAGATTATTTTCACTGGTTTCAGGATTGAAATAGCTTGAAACTGAGCTCAAAGTAGTGGAAAAGTTTGATTTTTTCCAACATTCCAGAGTATACAAATTAAATCACTTGTCCAATACGCGTCCAACTAGTCGGTCTAATACACGTTCAGGAATGCACTGACATTTATTTTTTGCGTGAATAAAAATTCAAAATGGAAAGCAAGCGTAATATAGGAAAGGCCTGGGAATGTAACTAATAAAGAGAGGAAATATTTTTTAGTGCCAGGAATGTCTACATTGTTTATTCTGGATCCTGGTTTTATATTGGCAATTTTCTGAATTGTGTAAAAATGGCTAAATACCCAATTCCCAATTACTTTATTAGGTAGCTGAAATAGGTAAATGGGCAGATTCCTGCACTCAATTGATAAAAGGAATATTTTTTTTTTTTTAACAAGTCAGCCGTCTCCCACCGAGGCAGGGTGACCCAAAAAAAGAAAGAAAATCCCCAAAAAGAAAATACTTTCATCATCATTCAACACTTTCACCACACTCACACATTATCACTGTTTTTGCAGAGGTGCTCAGAATACAACAGTTTAGAAGCATACACATATAAAGATACACAACATATCCCTCCAAACTGCCAATATCCCAAACCCCTCCTTTAAAGTGCAGGCATTGTACTTCCCATTTCCAGGACTCAAGTCTGACTATATGAAAATAACCGGTTTCCCTGAATTCCTTCACTAAATATTACCCTGCTCACACTCCAACAGATCGTCAGGTCCCAAGTACCATTCGTCTCCATTCACTCCTATCTAACACGCTTGTGCACGCTTGCTGGAAGTCCAAGCCCCTTGCCCACAAAACCTCCTTTACCCCCTCTCTCCAACCCTTTCGAGGACGACCCCTACCCCACCTTCCTTCCCCTATAGATTTATATGCTTTCCATGTCATTCTACTTTGATCCATTCTCTCTAAATGACCAAACCACCTCAACAACCCTTCTTCTGCTCTCTGACTAATACTTTTATTAACTCCACACCTTTTCCTAATTTCCACACTCCAAATTTTCTGCATAATACAGTGGACCCCCGGTTAACGATATTTTTTCACTCCAGAAGTATGTTCAGGTGCCAGTACTGACCGAATTTGTTCCCATAAGAAATATTGTGAAGTAGATTAGTCCATTTCAGACCCCCAAACATACACGTACAAACGCACTTACATAAATACACTTACATAATTGGTCGCATTCGGAGGTAATCGTTATGCGGGGGTCCACTGTATTTACACCACACATTGCCCTTAAACAGGACATCTCCACTGCCTCCAACTGTCTCCTCGCTGCTGCATTTACCACCCAAGCTTCACACCCATATAAGAGTGTTGGTACTACTATACTTTCATACATTCCCTTCTTTGCCTCCATAGATAATGTTTTTTGACTCCACATATACCTCAATGCACCACTCACCTTTTTTCCCTCATCAATTCTATGATTAACCTCATCCTTCATAAATCCATCCGCCGACACGTCAACTCCCAAGTATCTGAAAACATTCACTTCTTCCATACTCCTCCTCCCCAATTTGATATCCAATTTTTCTTTATCTAAATCATTTGATACCCTCATCACCTTACTCTTTTCTATGTTCACTTTCAACTTTCTACCTTTACACACATTCCCAAACTCATCCACTAACCTTTGCAATTTTTCTTTAGAATCTCCCATAAGCACAGTATCATCAGCAAAAAGTAACTGTCAATTCCCATTTTGAATTTGATTCCCCATAATTTAATCCCACCCCTCTCCCAAACACCCTAGCATTTACTTCCTTTACAACCCCATCTATAAATATATTAAACAACCATGGTGACATTACACATCCCTGTCTAAGACCTACTTTTACCGGGAAGTAGTTTCCCTCTCTTCTACACACCCTAACCTGAGCCTCACTATCCTCATAAAAACTCTTTACAGCATTTAATAACTTACCACCTATTCCATATACAGTGGACCCCCGGGTAACGATATTTTTTCACTCCAGAAGTATGTTCAGATGCCAGTACTGACCGAATTTGTTCCCATAAGGAATATTGTGAAGTAGATTAGTCCATTTCAGACCCCCAAACATACACGTACAAACGCACTTACATAAATACACTTACATAGTTGGTCACATTCGGAGGTGATCGTTATGCGGGGGTCCACTGTACTTGCAACATCTGCCACATTGCTCCTCTATCCACTCTATCATATGCCTTTTCTAAATCCATAAATGCAATAAAAACTTCCCAACCTTTATCTAAATACTGTTCACATATGCTTCAATGTAAACACTTGATCTACACATCCCCTACCCACTCTGAAACCTCCTTGCTCATCCGCAATCCTACATTCTGTCTTACCTCTAATTCTTTCAATTATAACCCTACCGTACACTTTTCCTGGTATACTCAGTAAACTTATTCCTCTATAATTTTTAGTCTCTTTTGTCCCCTTTCCCTTTATATAAAGGGACTATACATGCTCTCCGCCAATCCCTAGGTACCTTCCCCTCTTTCATACATTTATTAAACAAAAGTACCAACCACTCCAACACTATATCCCCCCTTCTTTTAACATTTCTGTCATGATCCCATCAGTTCCAGCTGCTTTACCCCCTTTCATTCTACGTAATGCCTCACATACCTCCCCCACACTTACATTCTGCTCTTCTTCACTCCTAAAAGATGGTATACCTTCCTGACCAGTGCATGAAATTACTGCCTCTCTTTCTTCCTTAACATTTAAAAGTTCCTCAAAATATTCTCGCCACCTACCTAATACCTCCATCTCCCCATCTACTAACTCCCCTACTCTGTTTTTAACTGACAAATCCATACTTTCCCTAGGCTTTCTTAACTTGTTTAACTCACTCCAAAATTTTTTCTTATTTTCATTAAAATTTCTTGACAGTGCCTCTCCCACTCTATCATCTGCTCTCCTTTTGCACTCTCTCACCACTCTCTTTACCTTTCTTTTACTCTCCATATACTCTGCTCTTCTTATAACACTTCTGCTTTGTAAAAAACCTCTCATAAGCTACCTTTTTCTCTTTTATCACACCCTTTACTTCATCATTCCACCAATCACTCCTCTTTCCTCCTGCCCCCACCCTCCTATAACCACAAACTTCTGCCCCACATTCTAATACTGCATTTTTAAAATTATTCCAACCCTCTTCAACCCCCCCCCCTACTCATCTTTGCACTAGCCCACCTTTCTGCCAATAGTCGCTTATATCTCACCCGAACTTCCTCCTCCCTTAGTTTATACACTTTCGCCTCCCTCTTACTTGTTGTTGCCACCTTCCTCTTTTCCCATCTACCTCTTACTCTAACTGTAGCTACAACTAAATAATGATCCGATATATCAGTTGCCCCTCTATAAACATGTACATCCTGGAGCCTACCCATCAACCTTTTATCCACCAATACATAATCTAATAAACTACTTTCATTACATGCTACATCATACCTTGTATATTTATTTATCCTCTTTTTCATAAAATATGTATTACTTATTGCCAAATCTTTCTACACATAGCTCAATTAAAGGCTCCCCATTTACATTTACCCCTGGCACCCCAAATTTACCTACTACTCCCTCCATAACATTTTTACCCACTTCAGCATTGAAATCCCCAACCACCATTACTCTCACACTTGATTCAAAACTCCCCACGCATTCACTCGACATTTCCCAAAATCTCTCTCTCTCTCCTCTACACTTCTCTCTTCTCCAGGTGCATACACGCTTATTATAACCCACTTTTCACATCCAATCTTTATTTTACTCCACATAATCCTTGAATTAATACATTTATAGTCCCTCTTTTCCTGCCATAGCTTATCCTTCAACATTATTGCTACTCCTTCTTTAGCTCTAACTCTATTTGAAACCCCTGACCTAATCCCATTTATTCCTCTCCATTGAAAAAAAGGAATATACTAGCAAAATACGAGTTTGGTCAACTGAAACAACGGAACTGGCTGAAAACAGGGCTCTCAAAGTGGGTGAAATCGCCAATGCGTAAATATCGTCAACTTTGCAAGTGTAATTCCATAAATTTTCCACCAAATTTTGTACTTTTGGTTTTGTTACCTTTGGAAAAAAATTATCATTTCATAAGAAAAAATATTTTTTTTCTATAAATTCTTGGACACAGAGCAATTCTCAGATAAGAGGTCTGGACAATGAAAAGGTTAATAGGTCTGATTCAATTATTGGGACACCGTAAACCATGACCAATCATTCCTGGCTGTTTTATTATCCGAGAAATAGGGTAAAACTTCAATTTTTTGTGATGAATTCAAAATGGAAGACAAGTGTAATATAGGAGAAACCTGGGGATATTAATAGAGTGAATGTTCTGGTGCCTGGAATGTCTACAGTGTTTAATTTGAACTCTATTTTTACATTGAATTTTTTTAACTATGTAAAATTAGCCAAATTACTGACTTCTGTGCACTTATTAGGATAGTTCTTTGAGTTGAATGAGCAGTTTCTTGTGCTCAATCAATAGATTGGAAGGCATACTAGTAAAATAACTAATAATCTGGTCAAATTGAGCAAAGAAACCAACTTAAAATAAGACTCAAAGTGAGCTAAATCACTGCTGTGTCAATTGTGCACAGACCTGTAGCTTTACCACTGTGTAATTTCATAAGTTTTCCATAATATTAGGTACGTTTGGTGTCATTACTTTAAGGAAAAGATTCTCCCCCCCCCCCTTTTTTTTTTTTTCTTTAATGTGGACACAAAGCAATATTAATGTTGATGGTCTGAATAGCAAGAGGGTTAAGATTTGGACCCAGTTTGTGTTTGTGGCTGTATAACTTTTAAATATTGTTATAATCTCATTAATACTGACAGTCATAAGAAAAAATTTCCATGAAGAAATTTGGGCACATTTTTAGTAAAATCCTATGTTTAGTTTTCAATTTAGAGGTTGTGTACCAAGCCTAAATAAAACAGGCACAGTGAAGAAAAAATTACCCTAAAAATTGGGAATTACAGTTAAAAAAAAATTTAACTTTTAGTCAATCACTAAGAAATAAAATTTTCAGACTAATGTAGTTTTACTAAAGTGTCATTACAAGAGAAGCTAGTCATCATAATGAATGAAAAACAATCAAAAGAATATCATCTTTGTTTTGCCAACAATAAGTGAAAGTCACACTATAATCCTAATCTCCTTACCAACAGTCTTTGTAACAGTCATGAACTTGGAAGTTTGGTGTTCTTTGGTAGATGCATCATAATAGTTGAGGACATCGAGTACTGCCTGAGGGTTGTTCTTTTGCTCCTGCTTACTAATGTTGGAGATGGACAGTAGTTTTGTCCAGGAATCTGGCATGCCCTGAAGATAAAATTTAACAATAAATATAAATATACAAAAGTGTACAAATGTTTAGCTTAAGCATATCTTGCTTGAATTCAAGATTGAATACTGACTGAAATAAAAATTAGAAAGAAAATTACACTATTGCTTTAAGCTAATAATCAAAATAAATTTTTGTAAATTTAAAAAAAATTTGTATCGGTCCTAACCAATTAAATTAACACTATCAGTTTATACCTTTTTTTCAAATATGAAGACAACGAAGTTTATTATTACTGCTAGTATTATTATTATCATTACTATTATTATTTAAATAAATATTTAAAGAAAGCAAATCAATACAAAATACCATAGTCTATTTTTTTTTCAATAAACTATATAAAGGGTTTGAAAAATGTACACAAACAGCCAAGTGCAGACACACAGGTTGTGAATGTTGAGAATTCTTGTATTTACTCCATAAAACACTAAAACACACACCCTACATCCTGAAAATTTAAGTAACTAAAAGAAATCTGTGACAAATGCAACTCTTTCCAATTGCTTAAAGTTTATGTGACATTTGCTCTTGTCAATTAACTAACCGGGACACTATTCCATGCTCTATCCAAGTGTGTGTACTTTTTAAAAAATTTGAGAAAATCCCTAATCATATAAGCTCAGATTAAAATTTAAAAAATAAAAATTTTAGATCCCCTATTTCTATATTTTTTAAATGTTGAATGAAGACAAATACATGGGGGTAATTTTTTTTTTAATATAAATTAAAGATATTAATGATGTTTAAAACATCCACCCGTTTGAATTTTGACAGAATATCCCTCGAGTCTGTGCTTTTGCCATTTACATTTCTTTTTGGCACAAGTCACACTCCCTTCCTCTTTCTGTGAAATTAAAGCACTGGGTATTAACAGGAACATGTATGTAGCACCATTGAAATTGCTATAGAACATTACAGCCTCCCCCCCTAGTAATTTTTTAAAAAACACAAAAAAAAAATGAAAATCTCAAAAAGTAATACAAGCTAAATTTCCCTTTTGTGTACAAAAAAACAATTATAAAAAAACAGAAAGTGCTTTTGGGGTATAAGAAGGGATTGCACAAGATTTTATATTTTTGAAACATTACAGGGGTTTCTACTATGCCAAATGATATTGCTACTCATGATTAATGCTTATATAAGGTGCAGAAGAGAAAAAGAGCAATAATGTAATTAAAAAGTGATATTAAAGTGGGTATTTAGGTACTGAACAAAATGTAGTGCAGTAATATGATCATGGATGAAAATGTATTAGGATAAATTAACTACAGTTGCTAAAGTCCATACAATTGTTAGTAAAAAGAAGAGAATGTGTCATGTTTTGTGGAGAAAATACTCTCAGATCTGTAAGTGAATTAACTTTACGTAAGTGACCAATATATCAAGGAGGAGAAAAAAAAAGTGTCAGAACTGTTAGTGAATAACTTTACAAGTGTAAACAATGATCATAGAGCAGATGTATGGATAATGAAAATTTTGAGACCACTTGTTTTATTATTTATTAAATTTAGTTCTTCAAAGTATACAATGAAGTAATTTATCCTCAAAAAGCAACTGGAAAGCCCTGCTCATTTCAAAACTAATAAATAAAAATAATTCAAGCACCAACATAATGTCTGGACCTGTGAGTAGCACAGCCATAGTGATAACATGGCCTGTGATCAAAATAGTCAAACATAATGAAATGGCACTGAACAGAATGGCCAAGCTGGGACACAAGCAAACAAATGAAAGGTGCACCTGGCAACTGCTATGGTCCCCTGTAGGCTGCATGAAAGAAAAAAAAAAAGGATCACATCTGCATAATGAGCCTTATGCACCTAAACCTGGACATCACCATAAATCTTTTGAGAACAAAGTAAGGTGCTCATCCATAGGTTTAGCAGAGATGATGGAAGCATGACCAAAAGGTGTTATGGAGTAATTATTATGACTGAAATATTCCCACATATTAAGGTTTTTGAAAAGCATGAAAATGAGTAGTTTAAAAAAAACATTAAATTTAAAAGGTCAACATGAGAATGAGCAACAGACCTCTGTAGACTCGGGGTTATAGTATTCATAGTAGTGAGGATAGCTGTCTTGAAAGTGTTGGGGACCACTAAAGCAGTGTGTTGACAATAATTAGCTTTAACAAAACGTGGTCTTGCTATGCTTTTGCAGGTAAACTGAATTTTGAAATAAATAAAGAAATGCCATAGTTTTTATTCACTGATTTTTTTTCTTTCATGCTTAGGATACCCTGCTTTTGCTAAAATAAAATTTCAGGCTGTCCTTTACTGATGACAAAACAGAACTTTACCATCAAGCAAACTAACCCATTAGCAATATGACAAATCACTCGTTATCTTAATTGTCTATGCATTCAACATAATTAAAGGTAGCTCATAAAAGAGGGAAAGTTATTAGTAAGTAGCTTAAAAAATAAAACACTCAACTTATTCATGACAGTCTGCAAAAGAAATATTATCTGGTTCTAATTTCCATATTGACATTGACAAATGCATATAAAAACATATTCAGGAGTATACACATTCTGTAAAGCTGGAGTTAAGGAATTTTTCAAAACAAAGTTGTCTGATAAAATAGCAATTAAAATAAAATTTAAAATCATTGCACATTGGGGTATCATTCTTCATACCTCTTACAGGGTCCTAAATTTTATATTAGAAAAATTTAGTAGGTAAAGGTAGTTGATCTAAAAAAAAATTAAAAAGCTATTTTGCTTTTATTAAATATTTTCCAAATTAGGTATAAAAAATTACATTAAATGTAACTGTCAATTACTGGTCTGCCTACACCAGGTGTGTGCTAAATGTGCATGGGAAGTTCAGTTAACAACTTTATATATTACAGAACTTACAAAAGATTACATTAAATAATCATAAAGGCCCAAACAAAGGACATAGGTATTAATTTTGATACCTGCTGCAAAAATAGGTATTATTCCATTCATTAACACAGTTGCTAAATAAAAAAATTTTCATGCACACCATGTTTAGGATCAATATTAATATTGTACGAGTGTAGTACAGAGATAATAATCAAGAAGTTAATTACCTCTTAACCTTTTCATTATTGCTTCATAGGTCTGTCATTAAGGCCAATGTGTCTTATATAGACCTACCCTCAAATATGTAATAGGTAAATTTTGACCTAGACATGAAAGAATGGGTCTGTGCAATCTATGTGTACAGTATAAAAAAAATCCTGCCTCATGTAGTGCATAATGGTAACAGCTAACCTCTGACCTTGAGTTTGGGTTAAAATAGCAACTTTGAGGCATTTTCTAGGGTGATTTTAATTTTTTTTTTTTTTCCTTGTTATCAACTGATAGGCTAGTGAAATGAGATGATTTTGGTGGGTTTCAGACTAGAAATGGCCTGAAATAAGCCACAAAATCGAGGAAATGTTAGATTTTCTGGCAATTTTTCTCAAGCACGGGTAGCAATAACCGGATATATTTTATGGGTTTTTACTAGGTCTGCTTTAATTATTTGGACAGCCTAAACCATGACCAAACATTCTTGGTTATATTTTGTTAACCAGAAACATTAGATAAAAACCTCAATATTTGTGTGTATGCACACATATGTAAGTGTACATGTGTGTGTATTCAAAATGGAGGTAGGTGTTATATAGAAGAGGTCTGGGAATCTGATTAAATGGCTAGAATGACTGTGCAGTTTATTTTGGACTCTTGTTTCTTAACCCTTTGAGGGTTTTGGTCGTACTAGTACGTTTTACGCGTAGGGGTTTTTGACGTACTAGTACTCATAAATTCTAGCAGCCTCAAATCTAGTGGGAGAAAGCTGGTAGGCCTTCATATGAAAGAATGGGTCTATGTGGTCAGTGTGCACAGTCTAAAAAAAATCCTGCAGCACATAGTGCATAATGAGAAAAAAAAAACTTTGACCATTTTTTTTAATAAATCAGCGACTTTGCAGTGTATTTTCGTATGGTATTTATTGTTGTATTCTAGTTTTCTTGGTCTCATTTTATAGAATGGAAGACATATTACAGAAATTGAGATGATTTTTGACTGGTTTTACAATGAAAGGTGCCTTGAAATTGAGCTCAAAGTAGCAGAAATGTTCGATTTTTACCAAACTTCAAAAGTAAACAAATCGTGCCAAGCGTGCAATACACGTCAACTGGTGAGTCTAATATTCTTTTACAAGTGCACCAATAATATTTATACCATTTTTTACACTAATGCAGTAGTCTGCATAACAGTAAATCTTATATTTTTTGTGAGAATAAAAATTCAAAGTGGAAAGCAAAAGAATATAAGAGGGGCCTTGAGACGTGACTAATGACTAGAGGAAATGTCATTTTAGTGCCAGAAATGTCTTTCTTGTTTATTCTGGACCTATTCGGAAATTGGGCATCTTTGAAATTTGTGTGAAATTGGCAAAATTGCTAAATTCTGACACTGTACTGGATAGTTGAATTTATAAATGGGTGGTTTCTTGCACCCATTCGATAGAAAAAATGTAGTTCTAGCGAAATATTCATGTTTTTTGTCGACTAGTACAGTGAAATTGGCCGAAAATGGGGCTCAAAGTGGGCAAAATCGCCGATGCGTAAACATCGCCGAGACCGCTAACTTTGCGAGAGCATAATTCCGTAAGTTTTCTATCAAATTTCAAACTTTTGGTGTCTTTATGATCGGGAAAAGATTCTCTATCTTTTCATAAGAGAAAATAATTTTTTTTTTTTTTAAATTTGGCCGACCCTGAGAACGAGTTTCGGAGAGGGCCTGTCGACCCTCAAAGGGTTAAGGAGCAACATTTAAATTGGTATTTGTTGAATTAGTGTTAGTGGCCAAATTGATTTCTGGGCGCTTTATATGGTAATTCTGCTAGTTAAATGGACAGTTTCTTGTGCCCATTTGATAATGCAGAAAGCATACTAGAGAAATAGCCAGGAACTGGGTCAGCTTGAGTATAGAGAATTGGCTTAAAATAGGCCTCCATGTAGGCAGAATTAGTTACGTAAAGTGCTCCCCAACTTCCAATTTTGTGCTTGCATAATTCTGTAAGTTCCAATGAAATTTCACATTTTTGGTGCCATTACCTTTAGAAAACAATTCTCTACCCTTTCAAAGGCAAAACAATTTTTTTTTTTTTTTTTGGTATTAGCTTGTGACACTGGTGGGACTTTTTTATTTCAGAGGTTGCAACAATGAAAAGGTTAAGGAAATAAACTTTTAATAAATGAAAGTCCCTGGGATTTAAATGAAGTACTATATATAGCACACATGCTACAAAACTGATAAGGTCCTTTATGCATCAGCTTTTATAATTTTGAGATACTGTACAGTAATCTGCAGCCTCACATCACCAATACCCAATAAGTGTATACCCAACCTTCAAGTCCTCAGTGAAATGCAGAAATACTGAATAAAATGAAAGCCATGAGTTCTGCTGTAAAGTTTATTTGTTTTAATGTAATTATTCGTAGTTTTACGATTGAAACAACAGCAACAATTGATAACCCCACCAAATAATTATTTTGCTTCATTAATGTACTGTCGCTGATTTTCAGTTGCTCATACTATCAAAGGCAAAAATCCACTAGATACAGAATTGTTCATTGCTGTCATGGCAAAACACACTTATCTATTCACTACAATAATACAGATAATCTTATTGTACTTTTAGCTCCTTTATTTTCAGTATATCTGTAAATTATGTGTAATGTACTGTATTATGTACAGAGTACTGTAATGCTTTTTTTTTTTAATTTTTAACATTAGGATTTACTAGACAATTGGCAATACCAGACACCCTCTTTCTCTATTAGTCTGTTAAATCAAGGTTTTACTGCTTTGCATATTTCATTTTTTTTTTTTTCAAGTTTTACTATTTAATTACTAATCTTCTGCCCTCTCAAGAAAGGTGCCTTGAAGCTAGTGAATAATTCCTCATCCAAGGAATTGGAGCTACCCTTCCCTTGACTCAAGCCTGATTGCCTCGCATTCCCCAAGAGCCGTATAACATATAAAAGTTTAGAACTTCCCCTTGAATATAATTAGATACATTTCAGTTGCTGTTTGATCCAAGAAAAGTATTCCAGTATCCCCTAAGCCCAGCCCCTTCTACCTAAATTCATGCAAAAGGAATAGTGCAGGGCAGTTGAACTTTTAATGTAGCACAATATAAAAAATACTATATGTATGAGTGTGCACATGTATGCATGTACTTGCCAAGTTATGCCTTGCCTTGCCTCCTAGACAACTGTACTCTGATTGGTTCTTATGTATGCCTGTGCATATACACACACCTATATGTGGTTGCTGAAGTCAATTCACAGCTCCTGGCCCTGCCTCTTTGCTGCTCATCTTTCATAGACCCATCTGCTGACATGTCCACTCCTTAATATCTGAACACATTAACCTCCTCCATACTCTCTCCCTCCAATCTGATGCCCACTCTCCTGGCTTCAAGAGCATTATTGTACCTCCTCTTAAAGCTATGCATGGATCCTGCCTCTATCACTTCACTATCCAGACCATTTCATTTCCTGACAACTCTAAGACTAAAGAAGTACTTCCTGACATTCCTATGACTCGTCCGAATTTTCAACTTCCACCTGTGCCTCTTGTTTCTATTTCCCATCTCTGAAACATTCTGTCTGTTCACCTTGTCAATTCTTCTCAGTATTTTGTATTCCCTTATATTATTCCCTAGTCCTGTCCTCCAGTGTCATCAGATTGAGCTCCCTTAACCTCTCCTCATAGGACATACCCCCTTATCTCTGGGACTAGTCTTGTTACAAACCTCTGCACTTTCTCCAATTTCTTGATATGCCTGACCAGGTGTGGGTTCCATAATGGTGCTGCATTACTCCAACATGGGCCTGATGTACACAGTGTGCAGTGTTGTGAATAACTCTTACTTAGATGTTGAAAAGCTATTCTCAGATTTGCCAGAAGAGCATTTGCTGCAGCAGTTTTTTTCATTTGTGCCTCGGGATATGCTCAGTATGATACTCGCACCAAGGTCCTTCTCAATGAGTGAAGTTTGCAGCCTATGTCCCTCTCGAGCATGTACTCCATCTGCAGTCTTTGTCCTTCTCCAAGCTTCATAACTTTTCATTTGGTGGGGTAAAATGCTATGAGCCATTTGTCAGACTAGGCCTGCAGCCTGTTCAGATCCATTTGTAGCCTTAACTGGTCTTCCCCACTTGTATTCTCTGAGCAGGGATACCTCTGACTATACACAAATAACCCACACATAAAAGAGAGAAGCTTACGACGACGTTTCGGTCCGACTTGGTCCATTTACAAAGTCACACTGACTCTATCCCTTCCGTTACGTCATTCATGTATACAAGAAACATCACCAGCCCTAGAACTGATCCTTATGGAACCCCCCTTCATTACATGCACCCCTTCCAACGCCTCGTCACAGACCATTACTTGTTTCCTTCCTGACAGGTATGCCTTGATCCATTGTATTCCTGCCTTGATCCATTGTATTCTACCAATTTCTTGTGCAGTACTGTGTCAAAAGCCGCCTTACAGTCCAAGAAAATGCAATCTACCCATCTTTCCCATTTTATTTGTTACCTTGTCGTCGAACTCCAGTAGGTTTATGACAAGATTTTCCATCCCTGAAGTTGTGCTGATCGTCATAAATGAACCCACTCCTTTCTAGGTGCTCCACCACTCTTCTGATAATCTTCTCCATAACTTTACATACTACATATACATGTCAGTGACACTGGTCTGTAGTTTAAGGCTGCTTGTCTGTCTGTCGTAAAAACTGGGACAACATTTGCTGTCTTCCACACCTCCAGCATCTGCCCATGCCAGGAGACCTAAAGACTGTTGTTAGTGGCATGCACACTGCCTCTGCTCCCTCACTCAGGACCCAGTTATCTGATCCCACTGCCTTAGAGGTATCTAGCTCATAACAGCTTCTTTACCTTCTCCCTGGTTGTGTGTGTGTTGTGTCTAATGTTTGCTGGTGCACTCTACCACTTTAGTTTCCTAGTAGCCTTTCTGTCTCTATGAAAATACCTCCCTAAATCTCATGCTGAGCTCTTCACATACTTCCTGGTCATTCCTTGCGAGCTCCCCACTTTCCTTCTTCAGCTTGATTAATGGGTCCCAGACTACCGACTTCCTCCTGATGTGGCTACATAACTTAACAACTTTGAATCAGATTGGGCTTTCAATGAGGTTAGATTGTATACATTTGCAAAAACAGAAAATATTAGGTAAAAAAAATTGTCAGAAGGTTAAGAAACACTAAAGTGAACAACAATAATGATTTAGCACAGAGGGGAAGTTTATACCAGAAATCTGGGCACTACCAGGAGAAATCAGAAATATTAGTGGAACATAGGTACAAGTTTAAGAGGACACTAGATCACTAACTTCTCCAAGTGCCAGATCAGCCAGGCTGTGATAGGTATGTGGGCCACTAGCAGGAACAATTACTCAACATGGAAGCTAAACCTCAGGCAATCAACTTGGAAGCCTAACCTCAGGCAATCAACACAGAAGCCTAACCTCAGGCCAGCTGAGAGGGTGAAAGAACCCTTGCACCCAGTCACAGGTAAGCTTATGTGAAGGACTATTAGGATGTTGTTACCATAATATTGGGTAAGAATGTTGTATAAGCCATCCTACTGTATAAGAAGTAATGTGTCAGTTTTTATCAGTATTTGTCACATTCTCGTAATCCATTTGAAAGTCAATATTCTTGGCCAATCCAATATAATATTTCCAGTTAAGCACCTAAAATATTAACAGTACTTATAACTATGATATAGACCAAGTATGTACTTGTTAACTTCCAACATGTTATCCTTCTTGCTTGCCAACATGTAAAGCCATAGTCAGACTAAATAACTCACCGTAAACTCCCCGGTGCAAGCATCAAACCCCACATGGATTGTATGTTCAAAGTTGGTGGGATATGAAATATTTGGTTTGTCGCTATCCTTATGCCTCTTGCCTCCTTTGTGTCCTTTATGCTTTTTCTTTTCTGACTCTGGTTCCTTAGGCAGAGGTCGCATGTCTACTGCCATCACGGGTTCTGCCCTGCAGAGGAGAACTTTTATCTTGAAGACTATAAAACATTGAAATACAAAGACCAAATTAAAAAAAAAAAAAAAAAAAAACATACACTACTCCATCAAATTTCCCACACCTTAATACATATACTGTGCAGTATTCATTCCTAAATTGTTAATTTGAAAAGCAAAGATAAAAAGATATTTTAGGAGACCCTAAATAACAAGCAATTTAACCCTTCGACTGTTTTGGTCGTATAGTATATACGTCTTACGAGCCACCATGTTTGATGTATATATACTCAAATTCTAGCGTCTTCAAATCAAGCAGGAGAAAGCTGGTAGACCCACATGTGAGAGAATGGGTCTGTGTGGTCAGTGTGCACCATATAAATAAAATCCTGCAGCACACAGTGCATAATGAGAAAAAAAAAAACTCCGACCATTTTTTTAATTAAAATGCCGACTTTGTGGTCTATTTTTCGTATAGTATTTATGGTTGTATTCTCATTTTCTTGGTCTCATTTGATAGAATGGATAACATATTATAGAAATAGAGGTGATTTTGATTGGTTTTACTATAAAAAGAACCTGGAAATGGAGCTCAAAATAGGGGAAATGCTTGATTTTTGCCGATGTTCAAAAGTAAACAAATGATGTCATTGTCCAATAAATGCCCAACTAGCCATTCTAATATGCAGTCACGAATGGGTTGACATTATTTATACAATTATTACAATATTGCAGTAGTCTGCATAACAGTAAATCTTCTACTTTTTGTTTGAATAAAAACTCAAAACAGAAAGCAAGAGTAATATCAGAGGGGCCTGGAGACGTGACTGATGAACAAAGAAAATGTTATTTCAGAGCCAGGAATGTCTGCATTGTTCAATCTGGACCCTATTTTGAAAGTGTCATATGTTTTAATTTTCGTGAAATTGGCCAAATTGCAAATTTCTGACCATGTTATTAGGTAGTTGACATCAGTAAATGGGCAGTTTCTTGTACTCAATCGATAGCAAAAATGGAGTTCTAAAGAAATAGCTATGAGTTTGGTTGACTGGAACAACGGAATTAGCTGAAAACAGGGCTCAAAGTGGGCGAAATCGCCGATTTATAAATATCGCCGAGGTCACTAACTTCGTGAGAGCGTAATTCCGTCAGTTTTCCATCAAATTTCGTTCTTTTGGTGTCATTACAATCGGAAAAAGATTCTCTATAATTTCATGAGAAAATATAATTTTTTTTTTCTGAAATTTTGCGACACCAGGAGACACCTCAGGGTTGGGGGTTGCAACAGTCGAGGGGTTAATTACAATAAATTCAGAGAGCATATAATTGGCACCAATAAAATTGCCAGGAGCCTAATCCATGGCCGGGCTCCGGGAGTAGAAAGATTCTTGGAGCTCCTCAAAGGTTCCTACCATAGCTCAGCAATAAAATACAGTACTTAAGCAAATGTTGCAAAATTCAATATATGTACTAATTACAACATGTATTAAAATTAGTATTATGTCTGCACAACAGCATATAAATAGTCAATACTTGGTTGTGAGCAGAGCTTGGAGTTTAATATGAACTTTATATAAGAAAATAAATAATGTACCTGTTTATGGAATATTAACACACCTGTATATGACAAAATTAGCAGTAATTTACATAAATGAAACTAAAGTTTTTTGACAACTGAACAAGCACTGAATTGTAACCAAAATTGATAGGACTTTAATTCCTATACCAAATTTGGGAAGAGATAAAAATGCTCAAGCACAGATGATTAAATTTAGTAATATATATAGTATCTGATGAAAATAGGTGAAAGGTAAAAAAAAAAAAAGTGTATATTTTTTTTTTTCTTTTAGCCATTTCCATTTTGGAATAATAAAAATGTGATTCTTGCCTTTGCAAAGAGTGAGATGTTTTGCTTTACTTTTTCTTGTTCATGAATAATAGAGACGAAAACAAGATTTGCTGTTAGCCTAAGAAGGGTATACGAGACTGAAAACTAAACCTAGATGCTTTCCAACACTATATTGTAGTACAGTATGTGCAAAACAGCACAACTGAGAGATTGGCACCACTAAATTTTGCCCAGGAGCACCTCGTGCAACAAATTATTATATTACATTTTTATGCCAATTAACAAAATATGCAAACAAAATGAAGAAACTTACATTCTCTCTTGGGATCTTCTTATGGCCCCTGGCCTTTGCATTTCTCTCTTGATGGTACAGCCAATACTCAGCATTGTAGTCACTCCAGCAGTCATTTGGTGCTGGTAGTCCAGCACAGACAGGAGGCTTCTCCAGTGCTAGTCTAATCTGTTCTTAAACTGATTTACGTTCTTTGCATGAATTACATTTCAGTTGTTTGTAAATCTGTGACAACGTATACATTGTATTGCCATAGTTGCTACTTTTTGTAATGTATCTAATAGAGAGTCCTCTTATATCTGATAAAATCTGTTTGGTCATTTCTAGGTTTTGTGAGGTCTGATGACTCCCCAGAATAAACATAGCCTCTTATTCACACACAATAAAGCCTTCCTGAGTGATAAATCAGGTTTTCCACTCAATTGGTAGTTACTCCACCAGCCTAGCTTATTAGTGGCAAACTACTGCTAGTCATAGTTCCCACTGGCAACCTCATGGACTCCACAAACCAAGTCAACTCCTACAGATATAGGTTTCAGCTTGTCTTTTCTCTCCTCAGACTGCTAGCAAGTTAGGATATTGACAGTCAGATTGCATTAATCATGCTTCACTTGTGCACATGTGTGGTTGCACACACGTCATGGATAAGTTGTTATTCATGCTACAAGATCCTCTTGTGGTGCTCCTGCATTGTAATTTGTGCTAAGTGCTGCTGAATTCTAGTGATAAAACACCTTTCATTTTTGTTACTTAGAGCTGGTGCAGTATAGCCATCTGCAAATCATATCTTGGTGATGGCACTCAACCACCCTATATGAATGGTATTCTATCCGAGAGTCTCCTCCCAACCAGAACACGTCACCACCTAAGAGAAGACACCTTACTCCCGAAAATGTTACAATGTACTGCTGATGCGATTTAAAAAAATTCATTCTCTACTTTTGCATCCTGCTGGGGAAGTGGTGCATGCTTTATCAGTAGCAGAAATGATGGAATGTGATTAAACCACCAGTTGGCAACTGTTACGGACAAAAAAGTTATTGATTCTGACACAGATTATTCTGGCATTTATTCTTCCTTATTCACATTGATAGGCTGAGATATGGTTCTTGGCTGTGTTCTTCAGCTAAAGGTTTTAATGGTCTTTTCTGTTGATCAGTCACATTCTTTGCCAGTTCACAAATTTTCTATTTCCTTCTATCCAAGTAAATCTTTAGTATGCTTGCTGGAGAAGTTTTAAGCTTTAAAAATACAATAGCATTCATAACACAATGTTGCCTCTATTATTAACTATAAAATACTGCTGGGTAAAACAGACTAGTTAATGCATTACAGAATACTTACGCACTCCAATACAACTATAAACTACTGATAATTTTGTATCCGCATCAACACTATAACCACAGTAAGCCACATCAGCCCTTCATACAATTCAAATTCAACAAGTACTGCAGTATTTTTTTCACCCAGTACAAAACTAGAGAAAATTATGGAGGGAAATTTGGGGTTCTCTGGAACGTAACCCTATTTTCCAGTATGTTAACATCTTCACATCATGTTCGTAATGCAATTTTTTTACATTATTGATTTTTCAGCAATGTAACCCCTGCATTATGTTAAGAGTTTACTGTACAGTATCACTGCATCTACATTGGTTGGATTTGTGACCACTCGTCTGTAGCAGGTCCTTCAACATAGAGCACAATATATACAGCCTCTCCTTACTTAACGACGTACTTGTTTACCGACAACTCAGACTTACGACGAGCTCTCTGACCAGTATGCATACCTAAATAATGTAAGGTCTCCCTCAACATTCACGAGGGCTAGGGGATCAAGAGCCTTGCGAATGTTGAAAAACCGTGAATGTTTGGTGCCCCAATATATTGTAGGGAAATATAATACAATACTGTTTCCTTAACTTGTTGAACCATGAACAATCATAAAATACATGAAAACGTCGTAAATTGTACTAAATACATACGTTATGCCTTAACAACATGTATGTTATTAAATACCACTGCCTCCACCACTGCAAGTCCCTACTACCCTCCCTCTGACCCCCCACAACTGGCAGCCAGCCCTCCCACCACTGTGTGGTGAGTGTTTTGTTTGTTCATTATTTGCTATTAAACTACAGTCTAAATAATGTCAACCCATTTATGACTGCATATTGGAATGGCTATTCAGACAGGTATTGGAAGGTGACATCATGTGTTTACTCTTGAACACAGCAAAGAATCAAACATTTGTGCTACTGCTAATAATAATAATGATGATAATAATAATAATATAATAAAAATAATAATAATAATATAATAATAATAATAATAATAATAATAAATACGATAGAATTGAAGGAAATTGTACAAAAATACGAGGGTTGAAGCAGTGGTGGAGGAAGTGGTTGACGCATCATCAGTGTGGCTTTGTTTATGCTGAGTGAGTATTAGTCTCCGTGCTCTTCCAAACATTTCACAATAATTCATTCATTGTATTTGGTGCTTGTAGAGGCAGTGGTAGAGGCAGTGGTAGAGGCAGTGGTAGAGGCAGTGGTAGAGGCAGTGGGTGAGGCAGTGGTATGTACTAACATATATGTTATAAATAATAATAGTACATGTTAATATTAATAACACTTATAATAATAATAATGTTATTCATAATGTACTATTATTATTTATAACATATATGTTAGTAAATATCACTGCCTCTATCACTGCCTCTACCACTGCCTCAACCACTCCAGTCACACTCAATCTACAAGCACCAAATACAATGAATTATTGTGAAATGTTTGGAAGAGCACGGAGACTAATACTCACTCCAGCATAAACAAGCCACACTGACGATGCGTCAACCACTTCCTCCACCACTG